TGTCTTTGAATTTGAGACTTTAGTCTTTGCAACTTTACAGATCTTTTTTATGCACCAAGAGCTTGTAACACTCCAAAGAGAAAGGAAAAATTGAAATCGCATCATATGACCCCTTTAATATGATGAAGAAGCGACAGTGAGGAAAATAACATACAAAGCAAACAGAAATCGATCAATGATTTCTCCCAAGTGTGTCCACTCTGAGTTCTGATTACTGGAGAAATCCTTATCAACATGCTGCTGAATGGTGAGTATGTTTTCATGGATCATCCTCAGTTCCTTTAGTTCTTGCTCATCATGTTTTAATGGTGATTTAATGCCCCTTTCTGGGTATCTAATTGGGGTTATTTCTTTCTCAGGTGAACAGGAAATTATGTCATTGGTGTTTTCTGTTGGCAGAAATTGTTAAATTTATTAATATGATCTAAAGGTGAGCGAGGATAGCATGTGCCAGTTTAGATATATTTATTTATTTTACAAATAGAAGAATAGATTATATACTGTCAGTTGTCCAAGAGGGTTAATGTTATTTGCTTGTTATTTGCAGAAAATGTTTGACTTTTTGTTCAGTCAGAATGAGACTTGAATTCTGCTCAGAGATTTTCTTACGCAAGCAAACCAGTCGTGCCAGGTAATGCAGGAACAACACTTTAACCCAGTTTGGTAGAGGGGGATAGTCACTTGGTCTTATGTCGCTTGGGTATATTTTTAGCAATAGTCAAAAAAACAAACAAACAAAAAAAAACATTGTATGGGTCAAAATTATCGATTTTTCTTTTATGCCAAAAATCATTAGGTTATTAAGGAACGATCATGTTCCATAAAGACATTTAGTAAATTGCTTACCATAAATATTTCAAAACTTAATTTTTAATTAGTAATATGCATTGCTAAGAACTTCATTTGGACAACATTAAAGATGATTTTCTCCGTGTATTGATTTTTTTGCACCCTCAGATTTTCAGATAGTTATATCTCGGCCAAATATTGTCCTATCCTAACAAACCATACATCAATTGAAAGCTTATTTGTTCGGCTTTCATGTATACATCTCAATTAATCAAAACTGACCCTTATGACTGGTTTTGTGGTCCAGGGTCACAATTGTCTCCAATAGACTGGCCACCATCAGCGCTAAACACAGAGAGAAAAACACATCTGTAGGGAGAGAGAGAGACAGACAATAGCGCAAGTTTCCTACCTTAAAATTAAAGTTACTGATGAAATGAAAAGTTCGGTCTATGTAAGTACCTGATCATCATTTACACTGTTATTACCTGTAATCCAGAGTATCCGATGTACGGTTTGCGAAAGAATCATTCTTTTGAACCAGTTCTTTTTAGTGAACAAAAATTTGGACTGTCCACCAAATCGGACTGAAACAGTTCGCAGCTCGTGCAGCACAGATCTACAAGTTACTCAATCAAAACTCACTTTCAGATGCCTGACAGTCACGCCGACTCAAAATTAGCTACATTTCAGCGTATCTGATCCTATGATGCTGTTTTTTGCAAATTAATTCAGAGCTCCAGTTCCTCCAACAGTCACTGAACTAGGAAACAGTTCGACTCGGACCGAAGACCGATGTGCATGTGTGAACCGAGCGCCTGAATCAAGGGGATAAATTAACTTTTTTATGGTGTATGTAAAAAGGTGAAGACGAGTTTATTCACATTATATGCTGTAGACATGTAACACATCCACGTTTCACATCAAACTGCTGAATTGAACCAGTTCATTTAAACGAACTGTCTGAAAGAACCAGTTCATGGAAACAAATCAGACTTTCCCATTTGCCTGATCTCTGGAGATAATCATGTTGTAAATAATGTTCAGTTTCTTGGACAGAACATTTGTTTAGCTTCATAAGACCTCAGTATATCGTCAAGAGCCATGGGGATTCATTTTGTGTTGCCTGATATGCTTTTTTTGACTCTCAAGTTCTGGTAGCTGATGAAGACGAGTTTATTCACATTATATGCTG